ATATTCATAAAAGTGGTATTACTGGATCAAATGGGAGTTCCATTTTTAATTTTTTGAGGAAAAATGTCCACCGTGGCTGCACCAGTCTGCATTCCCACCAGCAGTGCAGCAGGGTTCCTTTTTCGCCACAACCTCTCCAGCTCTGGCTTAAGCCTTTTCATTTCAGTCCGACTCCAGCCATTTGTCATCACAACCCAAATCTACCAATTTCGTCATTTATCTGCTCTGTCAACGACATGCCTAGTAGCCTCTGTGGGCAATGTTTATTTCAATGGAGAACATTTCTGGGTTTTGTTTTTGTTTTAGAGAATGGTCAGATGGACATACGGAGAAAGTGCTTCCCTCAGTGCAACCTCAGAGAGAAGGTGGCAGGGGGGAAGGAGGGGAGCAGGTAATCAACCAAAGGACTTGTATGCGTGCATATCAGCATAACTAATGGACACGGACACTGGGGCAGTGAGAGCTTGTCCTGGGGGGCAGGAACGGTGTGGGGGGTCAACTGGGATAAACGGAGACATATGCAATACTTAAACAATAAGAAAAGAAAGAAAAGGCTTGTGCCAAGCAGGCAGAAAGGCACCTTGAAGTTAAGCAAGAGAGAGAGCTGCCTGGGTGGGTACCTGGGCACAGGAACCAAAATGGAAGAGTGAGAAGTAGGTGGTATAGCAAGCTCATTGCTGGCTTTCAACCTGTGAAATTAAGAACTAGCTGTGACATCTAGTGAAATGTACACCAATTAGTCCTCATATGTTTTTAAACACATTAGTGTAAAAGAGAACAGCATTTGGCAAACACATTTTAATTCTATGTATATTTGTTCAATTAATTGACATTTTCTTGACAAGGAAATACCAGGGTTTTTGTTTTTCTTACCTCTCTCCTAAGACATCACATTAGATGATAATTCAGTCTCCGGCAAAGGAATCCTGAGGTCCCCAAACAACTGGTTTCCCCAGGGGCAGCCCTGTGCTATGCAAGTTCTCTGCTTGACTCTCCTAGCATTGCTCAGGGGAGAGTAGTTAGATAACCGTCTCTCTGGTGCCAGGAAACAAACCAAACCACTAAGCAGCTCTTTTCCAAGCACCTGATCCTTTACCTCAGTTCTGCTTCTCCATGAGACGCACTTGGCAGAGAAGACTTGTGGCTGAACAGAAACCTCCGGCCTCGGTTCCTTCCAGCGTTAGCAAAGCTGAGTCCCCGAAGGATGGGCAACACCAATGTCAACAACCCAAAGCAGGAGCCTACAACTATCAACTAATCACACATTAGAGTTACTTTGCCCTCAGTCAAACTAAACATTTTTGAGAAACACCTTTCAAAATCTTCACACATTAGAGGTTTTCCTTTGCCCAAAGTTCCACATCAGTCAGGCATTGTGGAGAGCAGCTAAAGTGTTCGGACAGGCTCAAGCCTTGGACTGACTTGTGGTAAAGCCACATACAAATCCCACCTTGGAGGGCATTGTAAACATCTTGCCCTTGTTTTGTTTCAGGTGATTTGACTATAAAATAAAGCTTTGGCTTACAGGTGGTGGCACTATCTCTCCATCCGAGAACAGCATCCCATGTAGCCCCAAATGTATTCTCTTGTCTGTCTTCTTTAATCCTTCACCGCCCCTCCTTAGGTTAAACCCCCGCCCCCCCCCCCGACCTCCTCATGTTCACACACCCCCACCTCCTCAGTTTCCCCCCCCCCACCTCCTCAGGTTCACACCCCCCACCTCCTCAGGTTCACCCCCCCCCACCTCCTCAGGTTCACACCCCCCCACCTCCTCAGGTTCAGCCCTGGCCTTGCTGGACGCTGTTCAAGACATATCCTCTGAGAATGCTGCAATGCAAATATCCCATAAGCCAGCACTGCAGTGCTCATCAGGTGTCAGCAGCTGCAGCCCACAGGTGGGGGGAAGCCTCACCAGCCTGATCTGCAAAAAATGGCCATGGTCTAGGGCAGTGGTCGGCAAACTCATTAGTCAACAGAGTGGCAAACTGTGGCTGGCAAGCCACATGTGGCTCGAGAGAAAAGCAAGCTGATGGGATTTCACCATCCCTGAATTACAATAGAAAGAAAAATGATTGCTTGGGGTCTAGCTAATCAGAGTGAAAGCAACTCACATTTTTTAAAATATATATTTTTGTTAATTTCAGAGAGGAAGGAAGAGGGAGAAAGAGGTAGAGACATCAATGATGAGAGAGAATCATGGAACTGATGCCTCCTGCATGCCCCCCACTGAAGATCGAACCCGAAACCCAGGCATGTGCCCTTGACTAGAATCCAACCTGAGACCCTTCAGTCCACAGGATGATGCTCTACCCACCAAGCCAAACCTGTTAGGGTGCAACCCACAATCTTGTAATTAAAGCCTAATACTCCCATAACAATATACTGCTAGAATAAAATCCAGACCCACCATTCCTGCAGCAAGTTAACACAATTGAGCAGGCAGCAAGTTAACACAACAAATGAGTGCAAAAGCATGACTGCCTGGTGGAAACACCTCTTCACCCTTCACCAGTTGTGTGCCCTAAGGCAGGTTACTTCCTTGCCCATTCTACCACCCCATTCATGCGTAAGTAAAATGGAAACAACACTAGGAATTACCTAATTGTACTGTTGTGAAGAATAATGAGTTAGCATGTACAGCGTTTAGATCTCTGCCTGGCACAAAGTAAGCACCACCTAAGCAGGTAATATTCTTACATGAACATTGCTGAAAGGAATGCACAACCCTACCTCTCCACACCAGAGTGGATTACTGGCTTCAGTGTAATATTGCTATTCAAATTGTATGCAAAAATGCTCACCCTTTCCCCCCCCCCATTTGTTTAATGAAAAAGAGACTTTGAAGCTGTTTTAGAAAAAAAATACTAAAATATTATTTTTAATGTAAACAATTATTAGATGGAGATTTGTAATACCTACCTCCCCCCAAAAAAATTATACATATGTGCTAAAAAGACTGGCACGTTTTCAGCATATATTAGTAATAACTTATCAAGCATGTGAAAGCATTGTCTAAGTTTGACATTTCTTCAGTCCATTTCAGCATATTGAGGTGGAAACCTAAAGACAGAGGTTCTAGATATGGCTTCACTATGAACCAAAAACATGAGCATGGGCAAATCTCTGAGAGCTGATGCAGAACTCCCTGTGAGGTCTTTATTTAGAACAAGGAAGACTTCAGATACAGATGGGTTTGCATCTAAGGGGCAGTATGGTATAAATTACTTCATGCACCTCATTCCAACCCATTTTAGAAGGAACTTTAACATACTTCCCTAACCTTGCTTGGTCTCTGCAGCCAACATTGGGATTTCTACTTGGATTCCACTTGCATAACCATCTTGAAGTGCCCCTTGTTGATGTTCTTCTCATTCCTGATGCAATAGTATCAATTTTAAACATCTCTTCCCTTGAGCCCAGCAACCCATATGTTACAACAGAGCAAGGTTAACCTGAAGATGCTCTGCCCACAAAAAAGGGTGCTCCCACACTGCCACCATTCCTCCACCTGTCTGCATGCTTCTGCCCTACACACAGCTCCACCTTTCTACTCTGCTCCTTAAAGCTCAAGCTTCTGAAACCCTCTGTTCATCCAGGCTCATTTACCCTCTTGCTCCACATCCTTGTGCCCTTCCCCCTCCCTCCCAAAAAAGTGTGTTTTTCTACGGCTTTTCTCAACATAAACTCTGTGATAACTTTCTTGTCCCTCTTTCTATAATAAAAAGTAATCACAGGGTTACATATATATAGAAAATATATATAAATCCACATTCTCCTTAAAGGCCATTTAAGTATATAGACTGATTCCACTGAGTATAGATGATCCTATTTAAGGTACTTAAAGAAAATGATTTCAGTTATCTCACCTGTAAGTATTTTAGAGCTTAACGTAATAGAACCTCAGAGATAATTATCATAGTTTTGCATATTTGGAATTATTTAAAGGGAAATAATAGGGGAACATATGTAAAGTTTGAGAGAAAAGGAGATCAGAGGGGGAAAACTTAGAATCGCCATACCCATGTCAATAAATTTAAGGAGACAGAGCTTGATTTCTATTGATTTAGATTATGTCCAGTAATTTATTTTGAAAGGGGTAATGAAAACATTTTACTTGAACTGAGTCACATTTATTTTGTAGTGTATTAGACCCTAGAATTTGATGCAAAATTGTTTTCCTTTATTTTCTCTTTTATTTATATTTTGTTTTTCACTTTCAACAAACGTAATACATGATTTAAACATATATATAAATACAGAGAGGAAAGGATGAGAGAGAGAAACAGCAATGGTGAGAGATAATCACTGATTGGCTGCCTCCTACACACCTCCACAACCCAGGCATGTGCCTGGACCAGGGATCAAACCATGACCTGGTTCATAGGTAGACACTCAACCACTGAGCCACACCAGCTGGACTTATTGCTTAAAGTTTTAAAAAATATTTTACAAATATGGCCCTGGCTGGTTTGGCTCAGTGGATAGAGTGTTGGCTTGTGGACTGAAGGGTTCCGGGTTTGATTCTGGTAAAGAGCACATGCTGGAGTTGGGGGCTCAATTCCCAGAAGGGGTGCATGCAGGAGGCAGCCAATTAATGATTCTCTCTCATCACTGATGTTTCTATCTCTTTCTCCCTTTCTTTTCCTCTCTGAAATCAATTTTTAAAAAAGTTAAAAAAAATTTTACCAATATGTAACCTAAGTAGTGATAGGCCTCTATAAATGGCCCTACCCAACATATACACACATGCAAGATAATCACTAAGCTGCTGGTGTATATTCTTCTAGATTTCCCCCCTGTATACATACTAATGTATGCAGAGTGTCCCTCATGTGATAGCTCAATTTTGAATATGAAATGTATTTAAATAAACACTGCCTTCATAATTATTCAAAGTGTGTGTATACATTTTTGGGGACACCATACACACACACACACACACACACACACACACACACACAATCAGCATGTTTTTAAATAGGAAAGATTCCATCACTTACCAAAATAAGCCCCGATATTAGTGAGGAAGTGCCTGTCAGGGCCACGTAGAACTTCGGTGTTAATGTATTCAAAAACATGCTCACTGAAAAAGGAGAGAGACAGGGAGAAGGTCAATTGGGAAGCAGACAAATAAACAATTACCATAAAGTTTGATGGATGTAAGTATAGTTTCTGTGCATAGAATTTTATGAAAACATATAAAAAAGAACGCATCTCAGGCTGGGGGCTTGGGAAGAGGACTAGGAGAATAAGTAGGCCTTGCCAGACCAAAGAGGGCAGGAGGAGGGATGGGAGGACAATGTGAGCAAATGGAGGGGTCTGCTCGCACAGTCTTTCTGAGCAGTTGTGCCAGTTGAGGTGGGAAGGAACTTGAGCTATGAACCCTTTGCAAAGAAGCAGGTGTGGAAAGACACACAGATTCCATCCTTCCCGGCTAGGGGAATCCTCTCAATAAACCCTCCTACTTCTGTACCCACTCTTAAAGTGAAATTGACTTGTGGTCTGACATTTGTGATCACAAGAATCTGGACTAGCGGTTCTCAACCTGTGGGCTGAGACTCCTAATGACCCTTTCACAGGGGTCACCTAAGACCATCAGAAAACACAGATATTTACACGATGCTTCATTGACAGAAGCAAAATTACGGTTATGAAGTAGCAAGGAAAGTAATTTTATGGTTGGGGGTCACCACAACATGAGGACCTGTATTAAAGGGTCACGGCATTAGAAAGGTTGAGAGCCACTGGTCTGGACTCACACAATGTGTTCGGTCAGTAGTCATGACCTGACTACATAAACACTCCCTGAGATACAGAGAAAGGCACAGAAGGAGAGATCAGCCTAGAGCTGTAAGACAAGAGGAGGTACAGCTAAGGTGGCTTTGCGTGGCCATTATAAAAAACAAAGACAGAGTGATTTGTTATTTCTCACACAGCAGTCTGTGGAAGGAGGCAGATTTCTAAAAAGGAAAAAACAAAACATAAACCAAACAATCCTAGTTACAAACCTAGAGCTGGTAACTGCCAGCTTGCTTCTTAATGCCTAAAGTTCTCAAAATTCCCCTTCTTACATGATCATTGATCCCACGTTTCCCATTATTTTAAAAAAGTCACCAGAACAGAGGATTCATTTGTTATAGTTACTCATATCTGTACTATGGACTTTTTAGTAAATTTCTAAGAACAAACTAAGCATTGAATTCAATAAAATCCACACTTCTAAAAGACAGAGAAAAGATTAGCCTGAATTAAAAGTGCTTTAGCAGCCCTACTATGAACTCCCCAGAAACAAATCATAAAGGAAGGAGAAGAAAGGTTTTCTACTGAAAGCTGGCTTGCTAATCCATTAATCATCGAGAATTAGCTGATGGCCCTGGCCAGTGTGCCTCAGCTAGTTGCATCCCATGCACTAATGGGTTACCAGTTCATAACCAGGGCACATAAGTAGGTTGTGGGTTTGATCCCCAGTAGGGGTGCATGCAGGAGGCAACCAAATCAATATTTCTCTTTCCCTCTCCCTTCCTCTCTCTCTAAAATCAATAAAAACATTTTTTAATTCTTTGATAAATGAACAAATTGAGTTTTTTTAGAGAGAAAAATAAACATTTCACTCATTTGGTGTTATTTCATTAAGATTGTATAGCAATAGTAATTAATACATAATTAACAGTAATTAATTACAACAGTAATTAGAACATATTTCTCTATTATATCTGGTTACAGAAAGCCGACTAGAGTTGGGAGAGATAATGATGAGCATTCAAAGAAATAGAGATACAAATAAAGAGAAAAGCAGGAACAGAAACATTTAGAGAGCGTTAGGTGCTCATTTAAGATCTTATAGTCTTACTGGATATTCTGGCTAAAATCATTAAGGCATGGCGTTTGGCAAATCAATGCCTAATACTTGCCACTTCAATCTACCTATTACTTAATGTTTATAACAAAAGCACTTTCACTCATTAGAGAATTAATTTTCACATCAACCTCACTATGTCACAGCTGCAGGGAGACAAAGACCTAAAAACCAGTGGCCCTGCCCTCAAAGCTCAGGCTATGGCATGCCAGGGCACACACAGGATAGTGATGAGAGCCTATTAAGGAATAAAAGAGCGAAAGGAAAATAGTAGCCTGTCATTGGCAAAGGAAAAGCAGCTATAAATAATGAATGTTTTTAATACTGTACTTATTTTTACTTTTGACCTTTAAAAATGAGTCCACTGTGATCTTATCATTGGTGCGTGCTGCCCCAGGGTGGAGAGGCAGGAAGCCGCCCCGAAAGGGGAGGGATCTAGTCAGAGGCTTCCCCATTACATGAAGGCTGTACACACAGGCCAAACTGCCTTAAAACCGAGGAGTATCTTGACTAGTTTCGCCGGGGTCACTAGCAATTACTTTTGAAAACATGAGGCCTGATAATGTATCTAAAAATTGGACCATAACCTAAAAATTGGTGTATGTGCTTTGAAAACTGGATTTTCCTGAAATGTTTATGCACATCAATGCAACCTCTATACTTGCTGGGACTTGACAAAGCAAATTCAAGAACAAACTGGTAAAGATTAACCTAGCTTTGTGAACAATACATAAAATTCTCCTAATGTGCTATTTCAACCCAGAGACAAAAATTAAGGCTTTTTATTTGATCCAGCCAGGCACTGGTCACACTGGCTCAAAAACAGCTCACCAGTTAGCCAGGGGCAGCTCTGGGGCTGCATCATGGAGCGTCTGAATTTGCTGAACTTTAACTTGGCAAGGCCTTCTCATTTAATTAATCAGTAATTGGGAAGAAACTAAGTATGGCCCTAAGAGGAAACTTGATAGGAGGGTTACATTCAAGGATAAAAAATTAAGTGACCTCTATGAATCATAGGAGAGAGGAGATAAGGAAATAATACAACAGGTGACTGTGGGAATGAAGAATCACTCCTGTGAGCAGGAACTAGAATACCAGAGGGCTTATTCAGGAATCAGTTGTAATGGGCCTGTGAGGAGCCAGCCTAGTTTCTGGCACTCGTGACAGTAAAAGCCTCCCTCCATCTTCTTCAGAGCACAAGATATTTCCAAGTTCCATTCCTGGAAACGACCTATGAAAAAAGTGAGCACATAACCCTGTGTGTTTGTCTCAATGGACATAGTGCATCTCACACAGAGCCCTGGAATGAAGAGGCTAAGGGAACATCAAAGAGTTGGAGGTACTGACTAGATAGAACTGGAGAGCAGTTCTACAACAACCCAAAATGTGGATCTGCTTTGTCCTGTTCTCCTTTGAATGCCTCATTAAAATATGGCATGTGAAACAGAAAAAAACTAAAAAGTTATAAATATATAAAAATGAGCAATCATTTCAAACGTTAGGGAAAATATCCCTGAAAAGAAAGGTTAAAGAAACTACTGTAAGCTTATTTAGGCTGTAAAATTGCAAAAGCATGGATGGACCTGGAGAGTATTATGCTAAGCAAATAAGCCAGTCAGAGAAAGACAAATACCATATGATCTCACTAATATGTGGACGCTAATGAACAAAATTAAGTAATGATAGAACCAGAAACATGGACTCATGGAACAGACTGGCCAGAGCCCAAGGGCATGAGGATGGGGTGACGATAAAGACGGTGAAGGGATTCGCTAAAGAATATATATACACACTGCATGAGCAAGAGCAATAGTGTGGTGAAGGCCAAGGGAGGGGGAGGTGAGGGATGGGGAGGTGAGCAAATGAGGTAAAAAGGGGGACATCCACAATAATGTCAATGTTAAAAAATGTTATAATAATAGTAGTAGTAGCAGTAGTAGTGGTAGTGGTGGTGGTCATAGAAGCTATACTAGCATTTAGTGAACACCTTTAATGTGCCAAGCACTGTGTTATGGACAACAGGCCAAGGAGTAAATCACCTGCATTGTGATTTGTCCTTGTACTAAACATGGATGCTCTACAAAATAAATGAAGAGCCAGTTAATAAATGGGTCCTTTTAGCTGGATTCCAGTCGCTAGCTGAATTATTAAACTTGAGAGTGATTTGAAGACAGCCATTTCAGAAGGCAAAGAAGTTGCTGAATTCCTAAAATGGACCATATACTTTGCCATAACATGTTATTCCACATGCTAATATGTAATTTTGTCTTTGCAAATCCAGTAATACTAAAATCTGAAAGCTTTTTTTTTTAAAATATGGAAAGCAAGTATCTTCATTTTACCCCAGTGAATGACATTTTTTTTTCCTAAGCACATTTTAAATATACAACATTTGTATGTTTCAAAAACCTTACAAAACCTGCTTTACATCTGGGCATAGCATCAGTCCAGTAGAAGATTGAAAGCCAAGCACACCGTGGGCACTTTTTCTAATTTGTTGCTTCTGCTTCCCCTCTCCTTGACTTTCACCCTGATCTCCTTGGGATCTGATAAGGTCAGAAGCTTTTATGCATCACAATTCCCTTGATAAATCCTGTGGCATTTAGCCTTGTGAGAAAAGACATGGGTCATGACAGTGTATTTTTAGACTCATTCCTATGGCAAGAACCCCTCATAAATCATTCTGTCTACTCTTCCCCGTACCTTGATGTTGCCATGGCAACTTTACAGGTAGGTACACTGTTCTGCTTTCCTGGGCATCTGGCTCTACTGAGAAGTAGAGCCAAGCACATTCTTTCTCTTCTCAGCTGTAATCCTGGGAACTCTATGAAGCAGTATTCAGTCTTCTTGGCTCCTCGCCCCTTGCTAGGGGAAAGCCATCTGTCATGCCATGAAGGATTGTCTAAAGCCAGATACCCACAAACTTCAGTAACCCTCAAGGACATGTGAAGCAAGATCTCAGATTATCTGCCCCCTTTTATTTACAAGAGGCTGATAATGAGGAACTATACTGTGGTCAAGGACAAGAGAAAGGCTTATATAAGTCTAATTACATTCTTAGCTATCTAAAATATGTTTGATTTAGGATTAAAGACCATTTTATGAATCTTCCCACTTAACATCAGGAAGAAAAAAAGACATATCTGTCTCTCATTGGAAAAGACCTTCAGGCAAGCAGTCAGGCAAGCAGTTAGGAGCCAGCAGTCCCGGATTGCGAGAGGCAGTCG